TGGGTTCGAATCCCACCCTCGTCGGTGCTCTTTTGCTGCCTCCCCGAGTTCTCCCATCGCACCCCGGAGCTGCTGCGAGACGTGAGGTCATGGGGCAAGGCGACACGGGGCCTCTACGGCACTGCCACCCCCTTGCCGCCGGGCACACTTGGATATTTTACACTAGAGACCCCAGGGATTAAACAAAACCGCAGAGTTTGAGACCATCCTGCAGCAGGAGCTTTGGCATAAGTCAACGAGGCAACTGCACATTTCAAGCCACTAAAAATTTATTAGGTACAAAACACATTTGCATCAGATGACACGAACCATGTCCCAAAAACACTTTTGGGTTTTTACAGCTGAATTCCAGGTAAACTGAGAACATCAAATGGCAGCACAGGAGTAAAGCGTGGCTTCACTTTGCTTGCGATCAGTGAAAGTTAACTCAGCCCAACAAAAGTGCATGTAGTATGAACGTCCTCAAAACAGAATTTCTTCAGTTTACATTTCTTGTTTCAACTTAGTATTACGCTACCAGTGCTATTCTAGGTTTAAGAGAAATAATACAAATGCTATTAAAGAAAAAAACCCAAACTATAAAAATCACTTATCTGGAAGGCAGCTGACAGATTTGGACTACTGAGAATTTCAGACAAAATTAGAAGCAAGTCAGACAACTGGTCTCCAGCAGGCAAGACAGTGTTTACTGCCAAAGCTGCAGTAATTTGTATTTCACCAGGCAGAAGCCTCTGTCTGAGAAAAACCTGCTGATACTGTAATTAAAAAAAAAAGATTAATTTTACTGCAGTACTGCGGACATGAAGAACATCTTCATACTATTTACTGGGAATCAATATTAAACTAAAAACAAAGGTCTTCAACTTCCAAAGCCACAGCTTTTTAAATACTAGAGAATGCAGGTAATCTACTCTTCCCAAAACAGGAAAATCATTTCTCCATAGCTGTTTACTGAAGACTGAAGAAAGTGTCCTGCTTTCCAGCATGACAATTAATCCGTAGAATAAGCAACTCCTCTGGTTTTAATGCCATAAATATTCAATAAGATAAAACTTGGGCCCAGCAGCACAAAAATCCTTCTGGATTTGCACTGAGCATCATTAAGTACAAAATACGGCCAAGTGTTGCATTGACTCAAGAATGACAGTACTGACATTCCAGGGCAACAAGACACCAACTTCAAACCACAGTGCAGCTGCATGGTAGCTTCTGCGTGAAGCAAGAAAGCAAGCACAGAGCTGAGACAACATCTCGGGGACTGTGTCCATGGAATGCAATTCCTCTGATGTTCCCAGGGGCCACTGCTATGTTATAGTTTTCTCCTGGTGAAGCTATGTTTATCCATGATAAGAGCTCATAGAAAGAAAAATCGCCACTAAGTGTCAATTTAAGGCCTTCCAAGAAAAGCACTTGACTCCTCTCCATGCCTGTGAAACAGAAAAGGAGGGAGTCCCAGACCAGCCAAAGCTCAGCAGCGAGCCAAAGGGACACAGCGAGCCACGACATGCCATCTCTGTGGAAGGCAGCTGTGCGAGAAGGGCCCAGGCCCCCTCATCTGCTCTGTGTTCTTCTCCTGGGAGGACACGTGCTTTTTCTGGAATGTGCTCCAGGACCTCATCTGTTCAATCACCTGGACCTGGATTTCTTTACCAGATCTCTTGGTCTGTTATCTCAGCTCTGCTCAGATATCCACCATGTCCACCAGAGCAGACAGGTGGAGCTCAGAGGCAACTTCACCCTCCTTGTTTGCCCTGAGGAGCTGCTTCAAGTGTTTCAGTCTGTCCGACAGCATGGGGCTTAGCTCCTCCACCAAAAGCTTGCATCCCTCTTGACTCCCAGCCTGGGCAGAAGGAAAAGAGACGAGACTAAGAAAGCAGTATTACCCAGTAACAACGAGGAACTTCTCAGCTCACTGGCTGTTCCCCCACTTTTGAGAACGACCATGGAGATCAGCATGCTCCCAGCCCTGAGGAGGTAAGGCAAAAATAGCATGTTCTTCTGTTTCTGGTCCCAAGCCTTCCTTCAACTGGGGGAAGCTGACCCACAACAGTGATTCTCTAAGTTAAAAGTGCAGCACCACAAGGGATACCGTTATGACTGCCAGCAGCAGAAAGCATTAACACCTGTGAAGAACTTAGTCCAGATCTGCAGAAAGCATTCCCCTCCCTGGAAGGGAGTTATTTCGAAGGCGTAGTTTTTCAATTCTTTATTCCCCAACACTGCACACCAAGGTAATTCCCACTAAAGGTTTTGCAACTACAGGAGGTGTGCCACCCGCACCCCTCAGAGCTATAGCTAATTCTCAGCACTGCCCTTTCTTACATCTTGAGCAGATGACACAGGACTCTTCATCGACGGACAGGTGACAGTTGGGCTGCAGACCAAAGACTGGGGGAGGTAGAGAGGAAGACCTAAGAAGTCACCAAGGGGCTCAGTGTCCTCAGCTAGACATTGCTGCAACTGTTCTTCAAACCTGGACAGAAAGATCAAGAGCACCAGTCAGATTGCAGCCCGGCTTTGTTCTTGTAACTAGTGGGTTAACCAAGAGTTTTGGGCTCAGAAGTGTCTGCAAGAAAGACCTGATGTTCACAGTCATTTCCAACAAAGTCTGACATACCCCACTGCTATGACAAAAATCCATCATAGAAGACTCTGGTACAGAAAGGAACCACACAGACCGAAGACACCCAACCGATGGGGAAGGCAGAAGAGACAAGAAACCCTTGGGCCAATCTCAAAAGCTTTAGTTCTTCAGCTTTGTGATCTGCATTGCTACAGGCACCAATCTGACATCCCACAGTGGACTTTATAGACATTTGTCTGCAGGACACACTGTTCTGCTTTAGTTTTGATGGCCTGATTGACCACAGACAGTTTCCAACAGTTCCTCAAAGCTCCAAGTATTTCTACCATCCTGGACTGTTCCTGTGATGCAAGTAGGAGCTAGCAGGGGACTGCACTGATGTGCTTGATGAAACTGGAGATAGTCTAGGCTGTTTCCTAGCATCGTTAGACTTCAGCTTCCCATTACGTTCAAGTTAGAAATTGTTTTCAACCCTGGGCCGGAGCTGCAAGGAAAGGATGTTGCTCTGGGAACTTACCTCCTGCTTTCTATTTTCTCCAGCTGCAACTGTGCCAACAGACGCTCTGGGAGAAGTTCCTGGGCTGAGGCTGTGTCTGTGACTGCATCTGCACTTGGAATGCTCTTTTCTTGAGCTAACAGCATGCTCATGTCAGAACCATATTGACCTGGTATCATGGAGATGCTATAGGGTTTCTTAAAAGAGTTGGGAGATTTTACCCTTGACCTGAGGGGGGAGGAAAAAAACCAAACACAAATAAAAGCACAGAAATTGGTATGACTGTGGTAATTTTCCGCTACTAGCTTGAAGTTTGGAAATAGCAGGGAGCAAGAATTGATCATTTGGAGACATAATTCCCTTGTACCAGGATTCAACCTACCACCACCTACATGTGGTATTTGAGAAGAACTAATCTGACAGGGGGCTGGGATTCACTCCAAAGAAAGTTATCTACCCAACATCTCCTGCTACACAGCAGAGCAGCAGCTAAGCCTCCTAGAGGGAAGAGAGAGAGAGTGGCTTCACTCTGAACAAGGCTAGGAAAGTGAGCTAGACTCTGGAGATTTCAAATATTTTAATGCCACACAGCTCTAAGGCACTCCACCCCCCCAACCTCTAGCATTTTCTCTTAGCAGTGGGACCTTCCTGATGCCTTCCCACAAGCTGGGGACAAAGTCTCCTTTTGAACTCAAAAGGCTGCAAAATTAATATGTAATTACCAAAGAGAAATCTGCAAATCATCTAACATGTAATTAATTCATCTGTCAGGTTCACACTGCAACCGAAGGTGAATGAAAGGGAGGGAGCACTATTCAATAAAGGGCATGCTCATGATTTATTTCTATGTTCTTCCCCCAACCTCATGCTGTTTTTTCTCCATGCTTTGTGTACTTAGAGTACAAGTCTAATTCCAAAGCCTCAGCAGTGTTTTTTTTGGCAGAAGTTAATTTCCCCACTTACACCACTTCAAGCACTCCCAGCAATCCATTTCTCTGAGAGCTCAGTAACCCTGCAGAAATAAAATCTCCTTTCTACCCTGTTTCAGCACACCCTTGTACATCATTTCAAGGGAGATGCATGCAAGCATGTTCTGGTTTTCAGCATCGTGACAGCACTGTATGTTCATCATAGAGGCTCTGAGGAACTTCCTTCGAGTTCACCAAGCAACTCTGATGGCACAATGGACAGCTGAACGCTACTCCCACAGGCAGTGCGAGCAGCCACCTCACCTCTCGTAGCCTCGCCGGATCTCCTCCTGTGTGCATAGTCTGGCTTGTTCCCATGAAAAAGGGAGAGTGAAGTTCTTTAAATGCTCCCTGAAGAAGTACACACGAATCTCACCATCTTCACTTACTGCTTCTGTGAATAAACCCAAACGCAATGTTTATTATTAGAACGATTCTCCCCTTCAAAAGAAAAGCTCAGTATTAAAAAGCCAGTTTGGGGAAAAACTGTGTGTTCATTTTCAAGTAGCTCTAAGTTGTAATCCGCATGTAAAAAGGAGCCTTCTTGAGCTGATTTACTGTTCAACAGATACCAGATTACTGGGAAAGACTGTAAAATGCTGCTTTATCTTAATTTTAAAAATTCCAGTGTATCCAAGTTCAGTGTCCGGCAGGTTAAGTAGTCATTTCACTAGAAGAGGCTCTCTGTAGTTAAGCCAAACAGGGCACCAAAAGACCCCCCAACACTTGAAGTTGAAAGCAAACAGAATCCGAGACAAATTTCATTAATTTGGAAGTGCTCATTAACAGTGGCAGCCTGCCATCTCAGCTGACCTGAGCTTACATGACTTCCAAGGGACCAATTCTTGGCCTTTGGTTGAATGTAAACCCTCTCCTACTGGGAGAGGGGGGATGAAAGATTCTGACCACACAGAGACAAAATTTTTAATCACAAGCTCAAGTCAAGTCATAATCAACACACTCCAAAGAGAAGATAGATGTTCAGCAAGCACAGCAAGACCGTAGCTCCCTCCCTGCTACATACCACTCGCTGCCATGCATCAAGGCACCATTGTCAAGTTATTAAAGACAGTTATGCAAGAAGTATCATCCATGTTCTAGAAGGATGCACAATACCTGGAGCAATAGGCAGTTTGGGTTGTTTCCAGTCTCTCAGTTTATGATCAATGCAGACTACCAAGATATCATCCCAAGGGATCTCATCAACAGAAGGTCCATCTTCATCAGAGTTCCCAGATGTTCTGTTTTTCCACTTCTGGTAAGTTTTGCTCAGCAGATTCTCCACTTGAGACTGGATCAGTGGCTGAGTATGGGAAGAACTAGCAATCTGAGACACATACTGAAAAATCATGCGGCAAACAGGACGCCAAGGAGCTATGGGGAAAAAAAAAAATACAACAAAGTAAGTTGCAAGAATTTGTGACAGAGCCAAACTACCCACCTTACGGCCTGGAAGCTCAACATGGCGCAGGCACATCTGAGAAAACGACGTGCTGCCAAGAGGATATTGCAGTGTGAAGTACATACCACCTAATGGAGGCAGATCTAGGTACGGGATCTGGAAGGACAGCACAGCCTTCTTCAGCCAGGCCAGGTGATCAGGCGTGTTCCATTGCAGGTGGGGCAACACCTTGTTACCCCCAGGCTCTGAAAACTCGGTAACAGGCCAAGACAAGTCACTAAGGTGCTCGGAGGATGCCACATCCGAAAGGAACTGCAGCACGCTGTTGTACAGCTCTATGATGACCCCAGGCTCCTGAGATGGCAGGCCAGCTAAACGCCTCTCCTTCCAGTCATAGTAGAAGCGCTTGCCAAATTCACCATCAATCCCATCCTCAATGTACTCCCGAAGGGTCTGACTGCAGAGCTCAAGCAAGTCAGGGCACTGGGAAACCAGCCAGCCCACAGCTGCAGAGATCTACGACACACAAAACATGGGTGGTTGGAAACTGCTCCGCAGTGATCAGAACACAAAGGATTCAATCCTGCAACCCTAAGTTTGACGTAACACTATTCAAGATACTATGTAGGAAAATACAAGCAAACCAACCACTGTCATCCTGATATTTGCAACAATAATTCTCCAATTAGGTGGTCACAAACTAAACTCATATGCAGCAGGCTCAGGAACAGACAGAAAGAGGCTGTTCACACCAGGTGCAGTCATGCAGTGGAATTCCCTGATGCAGGACAGTGGGGATGCCGAAAACTTATCTGGGAGAACTTGGACAGATTCACAGAAATTAGCCCATGGTGACTATATCCAGAGAAGCCATGTCTGATCCTGGCAGTCCTTGAACTGCAAAGAGATGCAAGCTGTGAGGGTTTGGTGGGGAGCATCACTCTGGGCTTGTCTTGTTCTCACCTTTTTTCTTAGACACCTTCTTCAGACACCTTGAGAAGGGAATACAGGGCCGGAGCTGCTTTTGGTCTGAGTTAGCTTGGCTCCCCTTGGCCATTACCCTCTCCCACCTCTCCAAACCACCCTGTTATGACTCATACATAAAAAAAAAATAAAAAATTTAGACTTATAACTATCATTTTCCATCATGGGTTTTTGAGTCGTCTCCAGGCTGCTATTGCCAAGCGCACAGCAAACTGAAGGACAAGGGGAGAAGCTGGTGTCTGGAGGCTGTCAGGGAGAGATCCATACAATCCTTCTTCACATATGTAAGAGGACAGAGGCACCCCTCAGTCCCATCCACCAAGAAGGAATAAAACTGGGTGATCTCACAGCAGCTAGAAGAGCTACAAAGGGTCCTTTGCATTTTAGGACTGGGAGCTTGATGGTACAAAGGCTTACCCACCACCACTAGCTCTCGACTGTTAGGTAGCAACTGTACCCCTGCTAGTCAATGCAGGCAGGACAGACAAGAATGGATTTATATAATCCACACATTTTGGTCTCAGTGCAGTTTTCGGTATCACACAGATGAAACTATCTTTTATGTAGCAAATGCCATTGACCTCCAGTCAGTTAAAACTGAAGTCATAAACAATGGAAAAGTAGCAGAAATATTTCATTTCAAAATAGTTCTGGTTGATGTTGGAATCACTGTTAACAAGCGAGCACCCGACTCCAGCAAATTCAGGTATGTGAAAAAAATGGTAAGAGAGCTTTTTGAATAAAAACTATGTTACAGAAACCTCAATGGAAAAAATATCCTGTTACACAAGACTCAGTTGCAATTTAAGCTACTGAGAACACAATCATTCCTTATAAGGCATTAGTAATGGAGAGGTTAATGATAAACCAGTCAAGTATCTCTTCATGTGAGTTGCTGTTCTTACCCTTCTGGTGCCTTGTAAGTCATTGATACAACCTGGGAGCTCAACAATGGTGTAGTCTGAAATAAGCTGGGCTGAAATCAAATCCTGCAGCATCAAACCTTAAAAAGAAGAAAACCCGCCATATACACACAGAAAGAACACACCTACTCTGACCACACTCCGCATATATTCACAGCATCACTTCCCTCCTCCATCTTTGCCTGCATACTCTCAGGATCAAATATCGCATGCAAAGGAAAACTGGAAGCCAAAAGAAAGTTCATCTCTTTCCATATTGATCAGTTCTTAAGGCCTCAGGATTTCTAGTAAAGCTTTGAGAAGTACTGTACTTCGCAGTCTCTCCCTTTACTAGACGACATATTTGAGAGACTGCACTAGCCGCAACAGTTCTACTTGGGGCATTCACATTGTTTTTTCAAAGCACAGAAATAATTACATACCTTCTTCAACTTCTTTCTCTGCAGCCTCCTCTTCCTGCCCGGGGACTAGAACCACCAGCGGAACTATTGGGTGGAAAGGTTTGGCCTGAAGCAACTGTTTCAACTGCAGCAAGGCCGAAAGCCAATAAACATCATCTTCCGCAACATCTTCACTCTTAACTCGAGGGGGCAGAAGAAGAATGAGACCACTGGTTCCAAGCAAGTCTTTTTGCATCTCAGCCATATCAAGCTCAGCGTCAGAGAGTGTACCATGTGCCACCTACACGAGTAACAAAGATGATAACGTTTAACGTAGCTAAAGCTAAACCAAGCTATTTTCATACTGAAATCTGCGGTTTACTATCATTAGAATTCAGCTTTGACATTAGTTACCAGAAACTCTACAAATCCTAAGACAGTGAGCTGTTAGACAAACACGGATGTATCCAATAGATGCAGGTAAGCACAGAAGTGCACTTCAGCACCTGATTTGGCACCAAGAATTGAGATGATTGCGGTTCTAACTATTGCACTGTATTTAGACAGGTATTTACTCATTTGACTGGAAACAAAGGAAAAAAATCCATCTTTTGTCAGACCTTTTCAATAACCCATTCTTCCCAGTATCATCCCCCTTCACCTGACAGGACACAGCGTGAAAAGCCTCTGCACAAGAGCCACTGGAAAAGAGCACACCCTGCTCTTACAGCCTGTTAGGTATCATGAAATCGTTTGTACCTACCTTTATACACACACTGACTTTAACGCTTCTGCTCCCTTGCATGCCAAGAGAATTAAATAATGTCAGCGTTTGAATTTTGCCTTCTGCACGTGAAGTGTTTTTCTTCCAGCTTTTGTCTCCCATAAATTTGGCTTTCAACCAATCCACCAGTACCCTAGCAAACAAGAAAGAGTGGGCTTTTGTGGTTTTTGTTTTAAAAAAAATGGCATTTTAGGGTTTTAACACAAACACCTCTAAGACACCACAATCTATCGTAACCCCAAACTTCATATTGCTTGGATTTTGCTAAATAGCTATTAAATGTCCTGAGATTATCCACACTGCTACATATTCTCAAGGTTTTCTGTTTTCAGTATAAGCAAAAGGAATCCAATGAACAATGTCAGAAGATACAGACCACTGCAATAAATTGCAGCTGTATTCTTTAGAGTGCTCTGGAGGCAAAAAAAACCAAAACACAAACTACAAAAAACCACAAAAAACCCCACAAACCGGAAATTTGACATGGCATGGGAAAAAATACATCAAGGACTGTGTATTACTACTCTTCTTCTATTTGACTGCCCTGTTTAAGAAAGAGACCCAGTAATCAACTCTTACTTACCTGTTGGGATCATCCTCTGCATATTCATCATCATTTGGCAAAACCAACAGCACTTTCCAAAAAACCTGTTCTTGTCGAACTGGAATATGTTCAGTGATTAATGAGACAAGATCCAGGGGAGTCCAAGCTAAATCACTTAAAGAGAGACAGAAGCTGGTGAAAAGACCCCCCTAGTGCTCATTCCCACCTGGGGAATGTTTTTCTTGCTTTGAACAAGTTACAATACTGTAAGTAGCTACTGTCCAGTTCAAACAGTCCAAAATTAGACCCAATTCTTTAGATCTGTTGCCCATCTATTTCACCACAGACCAGATGCCTTCAAGAATCACAGCTGCTAAATCTGTTACACGAGCCTTACTTTGGGGATTGTGGGACCATATGGGTATTGCTTCATTTCCACGCTGCTTCAATACCCTGCTCCAATAAGACGAACCTTGAGAAGGCAGACCTCCTGCTGCACTTTAAACATCTAGATTAATCCCTTCGTGCTACAAGCCAGGCCAGTAACAGCTCATTTACTCCCCTCCCCCTATACACCATCCCATCCAGGTACAAAACACACCCACAATATCCATCAGGTAGGTAAAGTTACACCCACAGCAATAGGATCAGGTGGCCTAACACTTTCACGAATTTATCTTGCAGTTTCCCTTATCTGGAAAATACTCCCAGAAGCAAGGCTGCAAGTGGGCACTCGAGTACGATTTACCATTCCTTACCGACATTTTCAAGGTCTCTGGCATTTCTGTTACAATTTGCTTAGAAAGAAAACAAGGATTAAACGCCAACATACCTTAACAATTGCTGGTAGAAGTGCTGAACTTTAATTTCATGCACTGTCTTGTTTCTCAGCCAATTCAATCTGGAAACAAAAGGGCTCTGGTTGTAATTTTTGGTATAAAACAGGTACTTTAACCAAACTTAAGACAGACTCACTAAGACCTAAGAAATACTACAGACACTTTAGAAAGCTGCCGTTAATAGAAGAATGGTTCCTTTAGGTTTGCAGTCTTTGTCATGGCATTTGTGCAGAAAGGGTCTTTTTGGAAGTATTTGAGAACAAAGAGCTTTGCAAAACCATTAACATTCACAATGAAGGTCCAAATAGGGCTACTTTGTAACTTACCTTCCAAAAAAATCAAACAGATTGCCAACTGCTGTCACTGTAAGTATCCTCACCTTGTGCAAGAGATCCCCAGCTTTCCTCCGTTCCCCAGGTTCACAATTCTTTTGCACAAGTTCTCCATGGCTATAGGCCACTCAGCACTGGGAGACAGTGCTTTCAGTTTATTTTTTGGATCTGCGTAACAGGGAGCAGCTGGAAACGCCCTCATTTGATGTTTCAGCTTTGTTCGAGCTGCCACTGCCTCCCTCCACCTTTGGAAGAGATAAACAGGTCACATTAAGAAACTCATCTGCAGATTACATAGGTTTTCTCATCTTTGCTTTTCAGACTGGATTGGGCTCTCAAATACCCCGTAAATCATAGTCTGCCCAGGGGCGAGTGCGAGGCGGTGCACGCGAGTGGTGCAGCGGACTCAGGCTGTATTTCTGCACAGTCGCAAAGTCAGAGCTCAAACAGAGCATGCACAGGATGAGACTTGCCAACTCAACACATGAAGTGTGCAAAATGGTCAGCCTTGCGCCCCATTCAAAAGAAACAATGCAGACAAGAGGGAGCAGCCTTCTGCTTAGCAAGCTGCACTTGCTCTCAGTGGCCAGAGAGATCACGGAGGGAAGCAGGATCGCCACTCTTCCCTTCCTCAGCTGTCCTAGCTGTGTTCCTCAGGCAGAAGTGCAAGCACATTTTTCCTTCCTCATTTTCAGCGTGTTTACTCCTAGCACATAGAACATTTTACAACGACCCGTTATAAAGCTTCCCTGATATCTTCAAGCGCTTGCTGAAAACACTTTTGCAACATCTACTGCAGTGAGAAAGGTATGCCTTTTTTTCTTGTTCTGTTTTTAAGGAACATTTAAAAAGGTAAATTCACCAACGAGGAGAGAACATATAATAAAATCTTAATCATCAGATGTTTGTGTATTTTTCTATGATCAAATGATTCAAAATGGGCGGCACTGAATACAGTTATAACAACAATGTCAATTTATGAATTAAAAAAATCTTTTATTGTGTTTCCTCAGGTACTTTCAGGGCTTATAAAAATATTCCTGCATCATCCGATTTTCTTGACTGCTGCATGTACACTTGTCTCACTTCTTTAGGTTCCTGCTTAGTCTTCCCTAGTGCACTGAAGGCTATTTACACAAACCCTGAAGAGACACACAAACTCAAGTTTAGGACAGAAAGAGCTCTGCAAGGGAAGGTGCTCCACAGAAGAGAGACTAGCCTGCTGCTTCCTCTTTAGCATTGAGAAATGCCACCTGAAACGCACCTCAGTTCTGTTTAACATCTTCATTGATG